CCATGAGAGGCGGGCAAAAACTGGCAGCGTCCTGGGTTTGGGTTCTAGCCCTCCACTTCGAGGTGGGAAGACACTGTGGCACTGGTCGGGGTTTGGGTCAGCACCGTCCTGGGATTGCGACAGTCTGACTCTCCATTGAGGCAGGCTGAAACGCTGGCTCCTACTTGGGGGTGGGGTTAGCACCGTCTTCGGTTGGCTTGTCTGCCTCACCTGCAAGGCAGGACAAACTCTGGCTCTGTCCGGGTTCCGGTCAGCACCATTTTGGGATTGGGATTGGGATTGAGAATGGGATTTGGGACAGTCTGACTCCCCAGTGAGACAGGCTGAAAGGCTGGCTCCGACTTGGGAGTGGGGTTAGCACCGTCTTCGGTTGGGTTGTCTGCCTCACCTGCATGGCAGCACAAACTCTGGCTCTGTCCGGGTTCCAGTCAGCACCATTTTGGGTTTGGGATTGGGAATGGGATTTGGGACAGTCTGACTCCCCAGTGAGACAGGCTGAAACGCTGGCTCCGACTTGGGGGTGGGGTTAGCACCGTCTTGGGTGGGGTTGTCTGCCTCACCTGCACGGCAGGACAAACTGGCTCTGTCCGGGGTTCAGTCAGCACCATTTTGGGATTGGGATTGGGAATGGGATTTGGGAGAGTCTGACTCCCCAGTGAGACAGGCTGAAATGCTGGCTCCAACTTGGGGGTGGGGTTAGCACCGTCTTGGGTGGGGTTGTCTGCCTCACCTGCAAGGCAGGACAAACTCTGGCTCCGTCCGGGTTTCGGTCAGCACCATTTTGGGATTGGGATTGGGAATGGGATTTGGGAGAGTCTGACTCTCCTGTGAGGCAGGCTGAAACTCTGCATCCGACTTTGGTTTGTGTTAGTACTGACAGGACTTTGTTGTTGGCCTCACCTGTGTGGCAGTCACAAAGTGTGGCACTTTTAGGCTTATAGGTTAGCCGTCTCTTAGATTCAGTTATTGTACTCTCCTGTGAAGTGGGCAGAAATGACTTTTACTTAATTCTATATTTTGAATGTTTCTGTATATTCTTAAAAGCTCCTCCTAAAATAGGACGAGGCAGTAGACTTTAGTGCAGAAATTTAACCCATAGAAAGTCATGTCACAGAGGCAGAAAAATACACTTATGGAGTGGGTAAGTTTGGACAGCTGTCTTGCATGGGGAAATCTCTGGTTCTTGCTTATGCGAGGGAACTGTCCCCTTCACCGGGACAATCCTTGGGGAAGCAAAAGGGGTGGAGGCCAGGCAAGCCTTGTCCTTAGCACACGGCTCCCTGAACTTGTGCCTGAGCTTCATGCGTTTCCAGCTCCTCCTCCTCATGGGGACCATTCAGCTCGGGGACAC